CCGGCCACACCTCCGATTTTATGGATTTCTTGGGGATGCATTCATCCATAAAGCCCTGCAATAACGTCTTGAACGCCTATATCCTCTGCTCCTCTATCGTCAGCCCACGGAGCCGCACCTCCCAGTCGATGCCCGAAACGCATTCACGTAGTCTCTCGAAATTAGCCTTCTTATAGTTGTATGAAACCTTCCTCGGTTTGGCGTTACTCTTTGTCCGCTTGATATTCCACGTGGTCGCGCAGTGGTCCGAATCTCCCAAGTTATCCTATACCTTAACGTCTCATGCCAGATCGTCGTCTAAATCCAATGAAGCTTCCTCGCGAGTCAGTTCATTTACGTACTGAACGAGAAGAGCGTCCTGAACCGCAACGAGAAATTCCCTATCCCTTTCGCACCCCCCTTCCGGCACCGACCAATCTATTTTTGGCATGTTAAAGTCTCCGAAGAGCAATACCTATTTCTGAAGCGGAGTAACAACAATCTGCTCCAGATATCTAATTGTGGTTAAAAAAAAAAAAGATACTTTGAAAGGCCCCTCTTGTGATACGATGGCGCGTGCCACGCATCACCCCTTTGTTAATACCTTCCCATTATTTCTGCTAATACACTTTCATCACTGGTTAATAGGGCTGTTAATTAACCGGAAAAAGAAAGAAACGAAAATCTTAGGTGACTGGTTCGAGGAAGTTAAAAGCACAAGCTGGAAAAGTGCAATTCAACAATCGGTTTCATTCAATGAATAGGGACTTCATTGTATCACCTTCCCTTCCTCAAGCATCCTATTGTGGTAAGATACTAATAAGTAAGGTAATATGGCCGGCCCATCCATCATTGCTTCATCCATTCTGGCACGTTTTGGTGCGCTGGTGAATTTGCGTCCCCTGCGTGGGCACATGTGGCTCATGCCTAAGGCCGGTTCTGGGTACACATGCAACTTCAAAATGTGTGGTAACAATTATGATTGCAGTGCAAAATTTTCATGAAGGTCCCCATCCAGTATCTCATCTTTACTGGCCCATTTATCAAAATTCTCAGCAATCAAGATAATATTATTTGTATTGATTTCGGGATGACCACCCTCACCCTTATAATGCAAAAACATTTTTTTATATGGCCCACCAACGCCAACGGAAACAAACGCTTCCTCTGTTGTACGATAGGTGTCAGTTGCGACAGGTCATTTGCTCAATTGCATATAAGGCTCTAGTCAAGCAACGAGCCAGTACAGTCCAAGCGTGTGAGATCGATGGTCAGGCGAGCGTCTTCATGAAGCTAACACTTTCTCCTTTTCATTTTCACTTTAATTCTCGAATGGTACACCCGCGTGTGCTTTAGGATACGCCAGTCATACTTATAATAGGCCAAGTTTCTTCTTTTTTTAAAGGAAAAACTGGGATATTATCTCAACGTTTCCAATCGACAACGGGTTGATGAGCTGCTAGACGTCAGCAGGGCCGGACCTAGCTATTTCGGCGCCTGTGCAAAGAGACTCCCGAAGCCCCCCAGAATGGAGAAGAGTCAATCCCTAGCGTTCAAATTGACGTTGAAACGGAAGGCATTTTCACTTTCTGAAGTAAAACAGGGTGGCATCCATTATTGCTTCGTATATTTAGTCACGTTTTGGCGCCCCGGGTTAATTTTGCGCCCTGTGCGGGGGCACATGTGGCACATGCCTAAGACCGGCCCTGGACGTCAGGAAGGAACTTTTCTAGAGAAAATGGGTTACCCTGTAAAAACGGGAGAATCTGGTCACCCTACCTCATAGCAGTAGCGTGCCCAGAAAATCCCAACGATTTCATTGACATGAAAAATTGGTGACCCACCCTGCATTTATGGCCAGATTTAAACATTTTTGCGAATCAAACCTGTAAAATGTATTCCAGGGAGGGGGTTATGACACCCATAACCCCCCCCCCCCTTATTGAGCACGCCACTGCCTCTTAGGGACGTGAGTAATCATCCTGATATCACCATATCATCTAGAATAAAATTGGGAAAACGTACATACACATGCAAGACAGGATCATAAGTGTCCTCTTCATATTTTGAAAGAAGGCCCGTCAAAAAATAAAAAAGCCGGACCATACGCATATGTATTGATACTCTCTTGGAAACTTGCAATTCTCTGGATGTTGGACATGCATAAAATTGCTTTTTGGATTTCTCCATGATGCCAGACTTCATATTACTCAGGCTTGACTAGGAAATAAGACCACTTCGCAAAGGCTACTAATCTGAACTATAAGACTTAACCTGTTCCTTAAGACTACGTAAGATATTTAAATATATAGATCCGTGAAGACAGAATTGTATTGCTGCTGTGAGGCTCCGTCTAGCCCCATATAATGCAGATTTACGAAGGCCAAGTGGTAAGGTCAATACCGCTAGTGGAAAATTAATAACTAACGCGTAGGAATGCAATATTTCACTCACCTATTCCTAAAGGTTAGTGGGGTTATTGGACAGGCATCGAGTCTACCACCAATTAGTGGGTGCGAATTGCTATGCCAGACCCGCTTGTGATAGAACAGAATACCAAGGCGACCGCCAGCGCCTGTCTGATTTCTTGGGAATGCCAACTTCCATGCTCTTCCTCTTGCGTTCTTTCATCTTCCTTCATCTTTCTTTGCGTTGTTCATCAGTTCTTCTATGACTGGCTCTGAAGTCAGGAAGCCATTGGTGAAATTAGGAAGTCCGAAGATTGCTTATATGAAAAAAGAGCTTGTAGGAGGCTCTTCCCAAGTTGGCAGGCTTTAATTGATGTTTTGATGTTTTATCCTATTGCCCGCTTGATGTTTTATCCTATTGCCATCCGCACGCATTGCACTATGAGAATAATGCTGGATTGAATGTATAACCTATATTAGTCGCCGATCGCACCTTTATAGATACTTGACGACCCTCTCGCATCGAGAAAGGGAGAGATAGGAATAGAGAAAGGCAAATAGGAGTGCAAATGGAATAGAAGAAGAAACCTTGAAAAGTGCTGAACGTCTAAAGACTAAAAGAGCAACCCATCTCTGCCAGTGGTGGTGGGGGGAACGTCATCAATGACAGATTCCAAGACCTGTTAGGTGATGAAGGTGCAGCAGTGGTTAACCAGTTTGAGGCAGCAGTGTGAAGGATATCTTGGGATTTATTTGTGCTGATATTAAGCGTTGAAAGTATCTAGTTCCCCGTGAAGTAGATGGGACTCTCCTAGTTGTCAACCAGGAGAGAAGATAATCCACCGATAAGATTTGTGCGGATATGACGAGAAGTTGAAGACGGTTTCAATTCCAAGGGGTGACTGAAGATCAGCTGGGTTTTTGAGCACTGGGAGCATTGGGTTATATCGTGATACTAAGGGCTTCATGAAGAAATCCCACGAATATGAACTTTGTAGGTTAATCAAAAGAAGGGGAAAAGCATAAAATAGGAAAATGCGGTGAGAGGACTTTCTGACATACAGGCACTTGCGGCACACGTCGACATTGAGCACGGATCCTCCAAGCTGGAGTGAGAGACGTTTGGCCATTCACCAAGGATCAGAGCTACCTCGTAGCTGACGTACCAGGGGATGTTCAATTCACCTTACCACCACGCTGAGGTTGTGGTTCAATGGGTACACCATGAGGTATGGTCGTATTTTCGCGAACCCGGAAGGTCAGGCGTAGCCGAAGGTAAATGAGAGGAGAGTGGGAACCTAATGTGAACAAGCGTACGGTGCGAGGACGGAGTATGAACTGTTTGAGACGAATCACATACAATCGAAACACTTTGATACAAGCCCCCTCGACGAAAGGCAGGTATGGGTGGCAGACCGAGGCTTTGCCTCAGGCGGAATGGAAGACAAACCATAAGTGGGTTTCCTTCTGAATCACAATGGAACGGTTTTATTCATGGTTCCACCATCTCCCAACGGTCTTTTCATATTTTTTTTATTTAAATACCATTGACTCATTGAGCCAAAATTAAGAGATTTGCGGTCAAACTTAGATGCAAGTACCACAAACTCTCTCTCGCATTCATAATGGAAAACGAATCAGAAATGCAGCAGAAGCTTGCATGCCGAAATAAACAGTCATGTCTCGTTTTCCTTCCAGGGAAGGTCGGTCACGTTTTGTTCTGTTCATCATTGGCATATTTTCATTCCTTTTGCCTCCATCTAAGCGCTTTGCTGGGATAGCTCATAAATGAAATGGTGTAATTATAGTTGGCCTTCCTTGAGTAGTTTTCCTGACTCGATGCAAAGCTATGACTACGTGGTTCTGCTCCAATGTGGTTCTGCTCTATCTAGAAATCTCTGGGCAGCCCTGGGCGCAACCAAGGGGGAGGGGGGGGGGGGTCAGGGGGTCTGAACCCCCCCCTCAAACCCTGTTCATGATAGTATCTCTCTGGTCCTCCAACCCCCTATCCCCCAAGGGTGGGGAAAGCAGAAAGATATTATCATGAGCAAACGACCCGAGAGCGAGGCTGGAAAGGCACAAAGATAGGTGAAAGGTGGTCACGCCAGTCATATGCGGCTATTCGCTGTAAGTAAAGTGAATATGTCAAGGAAGCATCCTGCACATGTGACGCTACTGATTTTTTTCTGAAGACGGAAGGACGATGATTCAGATAAAAGGCGTGAATCACGTACGAATTTCCAGTTGCATATCTGTGCAAGGAAATTTGGACTGTATCCCGAAATTAATTTACTTCATTTAAAGCTTTTTTCAATATCGAATGTACTTTCATAATTTAGAGTTAAATTCAGTTTCCACCATTTCATATAATTTTTCTTCGGTTCATTTTTATGCCTGCGCATTCGATGCCGTTTCGCTTTTTTTGTTGTGAGCATATATTTTCTGATGATTTGATAATGCCTTCTTGCATTCGAGATATTTGAAAGACAGGTTACGAGAACTTATCCGAACCCCCCCAAAACTTTAGGGCTGGTTGCGCCACAAGTCTGCTGCTAATGATCGATCATATATACAGATGACGCACATGGCATGTGCAACTACACTTGATGCTATAAGCATAGCGTGGATGGAAAAAGTGGGGGAAGGGGGGGGGGGGCACGAGCCCGCTCCCTCTGACCTCCCCTGACGCTACACCGCTTCTTGGTGCTTTTTTTTTTCTCTCAGCGTGCCTCTGCAATGGTACAAAAGCCATTGAACATCCCTAATAGCAGAGTGGAGTCTCATTGGGGCACCTAAGAGGACGAAATGTAAATGCAATTCTCGGAGCAAAGTGACTTGTCATCCTGATTATATCAATATTTTCTCAATAGAAGTTCCGTCACGTTCGTCGCATCAGGGCTTCCCTCTCTCACTGCCCGCTAGGTGCCGTCATGCTCAATATGGCTTCTCATCGCTTGTGAGCGTGGTCTGCGAGTCGGTGACGGCGAGCGTGCTGTTAAGGGCCTAAACACGACGAAGGCAGTGCATCAAAAATTTTATTTTCTTGTTACTATCCATGGAACTTCGCACACAAAAACCGAAGTAGTGCGGCACCGTTTCAGAGTGAATCGTAGAAAAAAACGTTATTTTACCGCGTCGCACCGCGCTGCTGCTAGTGGAGTTTGTGGAGGATAGTTTGTGGAGTATGCTTTTAGCCCAGCTAAATCCTATTCCTGAGTATGGAATATTTGCCTTTGTAGGTCTAAGTGTATGGTTTGTTGTTGAGCAAAACTAACTTACTGAACGAAGACACATATATTTAAACACTTCTGATACAGATTGAGCATGGCAGATGCACAGATGGATGACATGCCATCGGGAGATGGCTTTTCAAGTGGGATGCCATCACAGAATGAAGATTCCATCCCTGGCTTCGGCAATGATGAAGATGGCTATGGGAAAGAGTTCTTTGGAGGTGATGAAGAAATTGCAGAGGGAGACATGTCTCAGGAGAATTATGAACCCCTTGATCAGAATGATCCAGGACTTGAAGGAGATGGCTATGAGGAAGAACATTATGGTGAAGAGGGAGAAGGAGAAGGAGGCTATGAGGATGAGTCAGAATATGGACCAGGCCTGGGTCCAATGGGACCAGGAAACTTTGGACCTGGTGGTGGCTTTGGAGGACCTGGACCTCGGATGTGGCAGAGAGGACCTCTTCCACCACCTGGCTTTAGAGGAAGGGGCTTTGGTCCAGGGTGAGTAGCAGACCTTTGCACCTCTATGCCTCACAAATCTTTATTTATGTCTTTACTGTCAGTTTCTTTAAAATAAAGTAACTTCTTGTGCATGTTTATGTATTTCAACTATACTTTTCATCATTGTACTTCTCACCAGGAGACCAGACTTTGGACCCCATGGCCTGCCTGGACCAAGAATGGGACCTCCAGGCCCACCTGGTCCCAGAGGATGGGGGCCACCTGGTCCAGGCCCAGGTCCAGATGGAGGACCTAGAGGATTTCGCATGAGATTCCCCCCTGAAAGATTCCGTGGTCCACCTCCAGGACCTGGAGGCCCTCCAGGACCAGGAGTTCCACCTGGGCCTGGATTTGGTCCAGGACCAAGATGCCGCTTTCGTGGTCCTCCACCTTTTCAGGAGAATTGGGAAAATGGTCCTAGCCATGGGCCAGGATCTGGACCTGGACCTGGTCCTGGTCCTGGTCCAGGTCCAGGTCCAGGAGCACCACCTGGACCATCTTCTGTGCCTCCTGGCACAAATGGACCATCATCAGGCCCTGGGCCAAATTCTGGCCCCCCTGGTTCTAGTGCTTCATCTAGTGGCCCTGGAGCCCCCCCAATGGGAATCCCCCCTCCTAACCTGAACCCACCACCTAACATGGTAAGTATCATCATCTCTGTGTGTCTGAGTTTCATGCTAATTTAGACCTATTATTTTTCAAATGATGCATCTATTAGATTTTTATTTTCATGACTTAGTGAAAGAAAGCATTATACTCACTCCTAACAGCCACCGATGTCAGTTCCTCCTCCTGGTGTGCCACCAACAAATCTTCCTCCTCCAGGGGTTCTACCACCTGTTGCCATGCCAATTTCTGATGCTGGAGTACAGGCACCTGGTTCAACAGGAGTAGCTACAGCTCCTCCCAACACTAACTCGACCCCATCTCCTGCTTCAACAGCTAACACAACCAGCAATGGAACAGCTGCCACTAATGCCAGTTCGGGGGGTGAGTGAAAATGCTATATAAGCCTGTTAGCATGATTTTTGCTTTGAGGTTCAGTAATGTAATATGAGAACTTGCTCAACCTTGATGAATTTTCCTGTTTGCATACTAGGCATTGATTTGGCTGCTGAGTTATGGGTGGAAACCAAGACTCCTGAAGGAAAATCATATTACTACAATGCTCGCTCTCGAGAGACAGTCTGGAACAAACCAGAAAATGTCAAGATCATCACACAAGAGCAGGTATTGCTGAACAGTTATATCCAAACTTTTATACTAGGGATTTAATTTCCTCTACTTTTGCTCACTTATGTCCAGAATTCTCTCAATGTGTGCATTACATTAAGTCTGTATAGGCCCTATCCAGGATGAATTAAAGTAATTTCTCTCTATCTCTCATTGGATTTGTTTTTCTATTTTACATCCTGCAGACAGCCTATTAAGATTGATTTTATATCATGCAGCTTCAAAAGAACAACGGCAATGATTTTATATCATGCAGCTTCAAAAGAACAACGGCAATACCATTTCTCAGTATTTCTTCTCTTTTACTCTAGCTACTTGCTCTGCCATCTCTCTTTATTGAATTCAGGCACACTTGCTCAGGACTTTCAACATTTGCCAGTTATTTCAGTTTTAAGTGTCCATCATCATCACTCTTGTGTTCTCTTCCATGTGTTATATTTTCTTTTCTTCCAGCAATGAGTTTTGTTTCTCTGCTTCATTCTGTCAAAAGTTCATGCAGAACAGAGACATCAAATTTTGGAAATCCATTCCATTTAGACTTGGACAATTCAGGAGAGTAATGCATCAGACAGGCCATTCGCCATAGAACAGGATCCTGACGAAACTCATTGCCTAGATGCTTTCTTCTTCCCCATGACTCAAAGTTTGGCACTGATGGATTCTGGGAATTAAAAAAAAATACCTCCACTCTCATGTAGTATATACCATGCATAATAGCAGATAAATCCTTTGAAGGCCCTTAGCAAGCTCTACTGTTAGCCTTTCACAAATACTTATTGAATGGAGGATGTGTATACTGAGTAGTGCGGAACAGGAGAGGAACAAGTGCCCATAAGAGATGCCACTATTATGAAACTGCAATAAAAGTTCTGTATTTGGGCCGGTTATTGAATTAATGCATTGATGCTCAACCACTCTGGGAAGGTCTGCTTTCTGGCAGCCTGGAGGTTTGATTGTGTGACAAAATTTTGTATGGAAATTGCTTTCACTATCAGATAGAGACATCTAGGTTATTCCAGGGTGCATTAGCCCTGAAATTGATGGAGGGAGGGGTGGTAGTGAGAGCACAAGTAGAATGAGGAGCAGGGGATTAGACTTTCCCTGATGCATCACTACTGTAAGACTATTTCTGCCATGGGAGAGTTTGTGGGCAAGAGTTCATAAAAGCAGGCCCAGATAAGAAGGAACTGGAGGAGGGTATGTGGTTTGGGGGCTGGAGCTAACAGTTTGGATCCAGACTGATCTGCAAATCCACAAGTTGAGCACCCCTGCATGAAAGGGAATCCACTGGGAAATGAGAGGAAAAGAAGGCTACTTGTTTATTAACTTTATGGTAAATTCCATCAGACAGGTGGAGGCATCTATAGATAATGAAAGTGACCTATACAAGACCAGAAAAATTGATGAGAAAATGAGGTCATTGGGATTCGTTCTGGTCCCCCTCCCAACACTGGAGGCTTTGTTTACATGTACTGTTCCAAATTCCTTTTACCCTTTATGATCCATTTTATTTGTAATGTAATAGAGATTGTTGAGCCATGTCCAACAGTGGAACACAAAGGGTTAATCCATCCCTGATCTTGAAAGCTCTGGAAATAATCTATATTGGAAACTGTACTGCTTATATTACATTGAACACTTAAAAGAAGGGTTCAATAAATAATATGGTGATGAGAAATATTGTTCTATCAGTTACACTTAATGACAATAAAGTAGACATATGGTCCAGGTTTCTGACATTCCTTATGTTCTGTCTCTATGACTAGATTGAGCAAATTGCAGCACAAGCTGCATCAAATCAAACATCAGGTTCAAATGCCTCTGGATCTTCAACAACTGTCCCCAATGCAACTGAGGCTGGTGGGAGGATGTCTGATGACATGACTACCAAGGCCATGGCTTCCCCTGCAGGTGATTTTTCTATTTGTATAATTGATCATTGTTTTACTGGATATTCCTTCATCGTGTGCACACCTTGTTTTGTACTGTGCTCACCAATCATGCACACTGCTAGAGGTGATGTTAGTTGTGGGTGTTGTGCATGTGCATACTACAACCTATGACTGTCACTTTAGAAGTGAGTGCTGTTCTCACAAACTCCCACGCGTAACGCGGTGCCTGATGTAACGGCAAGCAGGTATATGTAGACACACTGAGTCTTAGCTCTCTGGAGGACTCCTTGAGGAAGTTTTTCAACCAGAACAATGCTCAGTGTATGGGGACCATGTATGGCCGCGATTCCCATCCAGAAATGAGAAACTGCAGAAGTATCATCTCGAAGGTGAGTAGATGGAGTGGCCATATCTGGATCACGGACTGCCATTCTTTGGTGATTCGGAACTTTGAAAATCCCACTTCTGATACTGCATGAACATGCTTTAGCTTATATAGGCAGGCATCACATATCACCTTCCCAATCTTGGATGAAATTAAAGTGATAGTGTGGTGGAGGTGATAGGCCTGATTAGAAGGGAATGAAGGCAATCGTAGGGACAATCATATCTCTTCTGTGCGTGGGCAACAAGGTCTATTGGGTGTTCATCCTGCTCACTGTTACGTCAGGCAGTGCATTCTGCATTTAACGTGGGAATGGAGATTCAATCCTCATCGGAAAATAGTGTGCACATAACGAAGTTGAGGCTTATGTGCAGTGTTCACAGGATTTGACATTGTGCACAAGATGAAGGAATACCTTTTACTGTCCTACTTTGTATAGTTTGGACCTATTGAAGTAAATTTGGAATTTGGCCGGATAGGCCTAGTGGTATTGTGTATGCTGCAAATGATGTCAAGTGCTCATTAATTACTTCCTTTCAAAACCTTAGAGATCCCAGCTGTTCTGGAATTGTGACTATTAAGTTCAGAGTTATATGACTAGATCAATGTCCTCCAGATTGACCAGAGCCTGGTTAAATTTTTGCACTTGGATACCCAATATAATATGCATAGGTATATTTTAGGTCTAACCATTTTTTTTTAAAAAGGTAATTCAATATTCATAATAGTTTAAAATCCTGTAGGTCACATATGACAGATGTTCTCAGCATGTAAGTTTTGTTGTCTGATGATTTATGTGATTATTGCCCATCCTTTATATTAAGGCATTCTATAAAGTCTAAATGTTCATGTTGATTGTCCTTCCAGGTGGTATGGGAGATGCAATGGGCATGGGGCAACCTCCTGTCATGGCTCATGGTATGCCACCACATCACATGTTTGGAGCTCCCCCTCCTTTTGGAATGCCTCCACCTGGTAAGTCTGTCAAGGAGATGGAATGCTATTATTTGTAATTTCCAGGATAGAGGGAAATAAATTTTGGGTATTTTTATTAGGATTCCCTGGATTTCCTCCACCAATGATGGGCTGGCCAATGGGCTTTGGCCCAGGGATGATGCCTGGCATGCCTCCCATGGGACAGCCACCACCCATGGCTTCTATGATGGGATCAAAGTTAGAGGATGATGAAATCTTATCCAAGGTTAGACCTGTCTTTCACTCACATTGAATTCTATTGTCATGCATGAATCTATGTTGATGAATAATCACATAATACAGCAGCTAAAATTGAGGCTGCAGCATCAAGAAGGAATTTAGTGGTCACCATTAAATTTAGAACATGAACTTCATGTAGTATTTTGTTTGATTAGAATTTCAACCAGGTTTGAGTGATTCATCAATGTTAGTTAATGGGAATGCATGCATTGGCCTATTGGAATATTGGCCTATTGGAATGCATGCATGCATCAGAATGGTGTATCAGATTGATTTGTGTCATACATTAGCCCTACTTGGGATATTTAGCATGTGTTAGTCTGATGTATCAGGTTGATATATCAAGCAGGTTCCAGAAGAGAGTGACTTCAATGATAATGCTAGTTCCCTCTTTCTCCTGCTAGCCACCTCTTAATTGTGTCTTTAAATTTCATTTAAAAATGGAATTTTTTATTATCCAGATTGATCCTGACATTGTTAACAAAGCCAGAGATTGGTCTGAACACAAGGCTCCAGATGGGAGGTCTTACTTCTACAATGCCAATACCCAAGAATCTGTCTGGGATAAGCCTAGACCTCTCAAGGATCTTGAAGGTTCGTATCCATCTCTGTTTTCTCGTGCAATTTCATGAGAATTGGTGCATTGATTGATTTGTAATGTACTTCTTTCTCAGGTGCAAAAATGGCTGCTGCAATGGGAATTAGCACTGTGAAAAGCAAGAAAGATTATGTAGTGAAGCAGGAAACAAAAGCAGCTCAAGATTTGAAGAAGGAGGGGCTAGGAAAGGAAGATGTGTCTTCAATGCCAGGTGGAATGAAGAAGGAAGGATTGAGTGGAGAGGAGAAGAAAGCAGAAGACAAGAAGCAAGATAAATCACGGCCAGTGTCATCCAATCCCGTACCTGGAACACCATGGTATGTTGTGCCATTGATAAACCCTGTGGAATAGTTCTCTGAAGTGATAGGAGTTATGAACCCCTTTCCTTTTTTGGGAGAAAGGTAGCAGAGAGCAAGACTGAGCAGAGTAATTTTAGGCATGAGGGAAGGATGGAAATCCCTTTTCCCCTAAAAATTTCAACTATGTTCAAGTTTCATCTTGTTCTGTTTCAAAGGTGGCATACTACTCTCCACAGATGGTCTTTTCAAAGCTCATGTTATGCACAAGAGAAATTAAAGTAATATTGTCCTACATGATGGAATACTCATAAGACCAGCACACTTTTCCTATGATCTGGAATATTTTGATAACTGAAACTATTCTACTCTATTATAATATAAATTGGGACTGTGCAATAATATTCCATTAAGTGGAGTTTACTGTTTTTCAAAAGCAATATTCTATTGATAAAACTTTATATGCTTTCCTTCAAAGGGAGAAAGTCCCTTGAATAGGATTCTGTTGATAACAGTTAAATAACCAGGCCAGATAGGTTCTGAGTGAAATTCAAAGAAGCTGTTGGCATATTAGATTCTATAAAAAGTGGTTTTAAACAGACAAGAGAATAATGTAGGACTTCCAGAAGGCTGTATGTTTGCTGGCCACTTACTACATAAATCAGGGATTCACCTAACTGCGAATGCGGCAAAGTACATACCATGAGCCACGTTGCTGACCACTGTCTGATTCACGCATTTCCTGAAAGGACTCAAGCAATCCACCAAGTGTTGAGCTCCTGAAAGCCACACTCCCTCACTGCTGCCTGAACTTTCCAGGGAAAAATATACAAAATTAGAGCTGTATGTTGAGGCTAGACAGCCAATTGATAACGTCTGGGGTTGCTTGGTGGATTGCTTGAGTCCTTTCAGGAAATGCGTGAATCAGACAGTGGTCAGCAACGTGGCTCATGGTATGTACTTTGCCGCATTCGCAGTTAGGTGAATCCCTGATTTATGTAGTAAGTGGCCATCTTGGTGGATTGCTTGAGTCCTTTCAGGAAATGCGTGAATCAGACAGTGGTCAGCAACGTGGCTCATGGTATGTACTTTGCAGCATTCGCAGTTAGGTGAATCCCTGATTTATGTAGTAAGTGGCCACATCTGCTATGTGTTGTCTGAATATGGTTGAGGGCTGTGATTGGTAAAGGCAATTAAATGGTGGCCAAGCTTTGATCAATGAACTCCCGGCTGAAAAAGCAACTGCCCATAATATAAAGTATATTATGCTGGAACTGTGAATGAATAATCAACCAATTATGATTTTTTTTCTGTTCACCACTGAGGCTTGTCTCATTCTGCTCTCCTATGGTATAGAAGTACCTATTGATATGATTGTATTTGATTTCTAGCATTAAAATTTCCCTGCCCTCTCCATTTCACTTTGATGCAAATATATGCTTTTTCAAGAGGGCATTTTTTCTGCCAGGTGTGTTGTATGGACTGGAGATAATCGGGTATTTTTCTACAATCCATCCACTCGTGTGTCTGTCTGGGAGCGTCCTGAAGAATTGACTGGTCGTACAGATGTGGAACGCATGGTATCAGAGAACCCAACCATGAAGAAGGAAGAGTCTACAGCAGCAACTGCTACAACAGCAATAACAGCAGCATCAGGTAATGTGGGATCAGGAGCTGGGAGTGCTGGAGAATTGAAAACAGAAGAGATTGAAGAAGAGGAGCCAACCAACAAGAAAGCAAGAATGGACATTTCCCCTATTAAGAAGGGTAGGTTTATATACTTTTACAATTGGGAAAAGACTGCTGAGAACTAAATGCAGCTGAGAATTCTTCTGTCATCACTAGCAGAGGATGAAGTGAAGCCAAAGCTGATTGACATTGGGAAGGAATCTGCAATTGAGGCTGAGGTTAGAGCAGCAAGAGAACGGGCAACTGTCCCCCTGGAAATCAGGATGAAGCAGTTTCGCGACATGCTGGTGGAGAAGGAAGTCTCTGCATTCAGCACATGGGAGAAGGAGCTCCACAAGATTGTCTTCGATCCTCGGTACCTTCTTCTTCTTTCCAAGGAGAGAAAGCAGGTCTTTGAGAAGTACGTGAAGGAGAGGGCAGAAGAAGAGCGACGGGAGAAAAAGAATCGCATGAAGCAGAGGAAGGATGATTTTCAGAAGTTGCTTGAAGATGCCAATCTAACAGGAAAGTACGTTTATGGCAGTAATGTCTATTTATGCAATCTTCCCAGATATCTTTTCCCTGATGCTAAATTCCAAAATTTAGGTCATCATTTGGAGAATTTGCTGCTAAATATGCAAGAGATGAGAGCTTCAAGGGGATTGAGAAGATGAGGGAGAGGGAAAGCCTTTTCAACGAGTTCATCATTGAAGTCCGGAAGCGAGAGAAGGAAGAGAAGATCCAGAAACGAGAGCAGGTAAGAGTTCTTGATTGTTTCCTCTTAAGAAGTAGTATTTTGGAGTCAATGTTTATTCTAAGGATAAGTTTATGGAAATTTTACATGTTCTATTTCATCCCCTCATCATGGTTGAATGTCTGAGGTTACAGGTCTGCAACATTGCTCAGATTGGAGTGCATATAATTGAAACAGCCTTCAGAACTTTTTACATTAATTAGTGTGGAGGCTGTCATTTTAGGGCGATGGGTGTATGTGGTATGAACATGAAATGGTGTTTGCCCTGTCATGATTGAAGGGTTCAGGAAACCTGGATAAAGGAAGTGATTGTAGTTCTCAAGTGGAGCCTTCCTAAAGAAGTAATTAGGGATGCACTGGCCAAAATGAAAAATTAATATTGAATTGCAAAAAAGGCTGCTAATTTCATTCATTTTTTGTCTACAGGCATATTATTTGCTTTGTATTTGCTGGAAACATGAAATTTCAGTTGGCAGGTTATGATCTTTTCTTGGCCCAGTATAACAATTTTACACTGGGGCAATGTTGACACCTAGCAGTTGGAGTCACACAGGGAAAGTTGTGTTCATTACTATTTTTACTGTCATTTCAAACTTCTTGAAAGGGCATCATTTGTCTAAAACCCATCCATGAAGCCTATTGCTGTTGAATGGAAATGGATATTGTTTTTCATATCTTGCTTATTGTGTATATAGGAGAATTGCCTTTGTCTTTTTCAGTGAAATGAAGGTAAGTGTGCAGTGTATCTCACTTAAATGCAGTGCACCAACCTAAGTAAGGGTAATTATCTGGGGCATACTTCATTATTGTTTAGGATTATAATGGATTATTAACAGTTAAATTGAAACATTCTTTTCCTTTTCAGATGATGTAGAACAGTGGAAACATTTTTAACTGTTGAATGTAAACAATTACATTTTGCCAAACTTGTGATGCTGAACTGAGACTCATTTCTTATCATAGATTGCCAAAACTATAAAAGTTTGAAAACGTTTTTGAGAAGCATTGAAATAGTAATTCCCTTTTGAAATCTTTCCTACAAGCACCTTTAATCTTCCTTATGGTCCATGATAGAGAAGTGAAGCTTAACATGTTTCTTGCAGCAGTAAAACTGACTACCTTAAATTATATGAAGTGACCCACCAGTTGGTGACTCTGCAAGAAACATTTAAATCCAATCTTGAGCTTTGCCATACATAATGGTTTGTATTCAACAAGAGAACTTTTTTTTTTTGCTGTTTGCCAAATAAAAAAGGAAAAAGGATATCATTAAATAACATATACCATGATCCTGAAAGTTCTTTATAAAGTTGCCTTTAATTAGGCAGGTAGTTGGTACATCTATACGGGGCACTCTGTATAAAATATGTGGTATGAAGGTGAATTACAAGTGCCACATTTCTATTGCCTTTTTTTTCCTGCCTCAACTATTGAGATAACACTTTAATTTTTTATTATTAATAAAATTAGCTTCTTTCTGAATTTTGTTGCTTCTTTTTTTTTTAACAGTAGATATGACTCCATTTTTGCATTTTTGACTGCTGTACTAGTAAAATACATGAGAACTCTTGCTTAGTAGGGCATTCCCATTTAAAATGCAACCAAAATTTGGAAATTTGCATTCACTAAATTATGAGTGAGAACCACTGTCATTGTATGAAATTGCTAGTAATGGACAATATGACTATCTGGCAACGTCTCAGCAGCAGTTTTCTCACGGTTGCCACTATACACACATTATTCTGTGTTATTCAATTTAGTTGTTCAGTTTAATTTCACAGTTCATGTGTGACATGATGCTTACTACTACACAGCAGCAAATCTTTATTTTAGAGGTATACCTTGCCTCTAAATCCTATCTACAGTTTCACAAAACTGCTCCACCAGTTGTTGTATTGTTGATTTATTTATAGCCACAGCATTAGGAAACCTTGTTTGAAAGTCACTTTGACTCTTCAGTACTATCACCTAACAACAAACATGGGAAAACTGCTGCAGTGACATTGCCAGATTGTTATATTGCTCATTTCCTAGAAATTTCATTCAATGGCAGTGTTTCTATTACTAATAATTTAGTGAATATACATTTCCAAAGTTCTGGTTGCATTTTATAAGGGACACCATGTATAATCTAAAGTGTAAAAATTAAACAAAAGGATATATATCCTGTATTAAGTTCCCTTAAGCCTTCAGGATTTTTAGTGTAACAGAAGTATCAATGTGTGTATGGGTGAAATTAAAGTAGCAGGCATCATTATTTTGCATTGGAACAATACAGTGTCTGCTTATAACAGGATTTATAGAGGTCATCATTTGGGCATAATTTCAATATTCTTGGTTTCTTCTTGAAATCATGCTCACTGTGTCAAACTTAGACAACTTACACTAATCTTGGTTTTAGAAAATGCTTTGGGTGCTCATTGCTTTTGTCCATATGGCAGAGGTTTGTGTTGGAGACATCAGTATGAAGTTTTGATGCACTCTTGTCCTTCATTTGTTGTCCGTGATATGTCATAGTCCTCTGATCTTGATCCTAGCTGCAGCATTCTGTGCGGACATTAAGCATTCTCTTGCTGAGAGTCAGGAGTGAAAAAATTTTCTTCATGGAGAACAGAGAGTTGGGCAAAAATCACACACTGAGTAAGTTGGATCTTCCTCTGCCCAATCACTGGGAATGTGCCTTGCCTACAATGTGTTTCCCTGGGTCAGATCCATTATGAATTCTTTGATGAAGAAGACTGAAACAGTATGTATAACTGCAGTAGCCGCTTAAAATAACATTTGTCACAATCCATATGAAAGTAGATTTTTTCATTATGTGAGTGGGACACTATTTTCACTTGGCTACCATTATCTTTGTCGCTGTAAAAAAGATTTTGTAATGTCATAATATAGCTGTTTAGACAATGCCATTGATGATACCAGCAATGCAAGTAAGTAATCAGCAATCTTACCCAGGTTTGAAAAGTGCACATTGTGACATTTTCCATTGATGGTGTCAAGAAGCAAGGCACAATTGCAACATAAGAGAAGACATTAATCATTAGCAGGACGTGAAGTCATGAGCATCTGCTCAAACCTTTTCCCTGCTTTAAGTTGAGTTCAAAACTTTCATGACTGGATTTGTAAACCTGGTACTGCACACTTCAAGCATACAATATTACTTTTTTAAGTATGCATTTATTACCAAAGGAGTCTGTCACATTGTAAGAACTCAGCAAAATTTGTCAAAAGAAACTCCACTCTTTTATGCCATAATCCCCTTTGACATCTGCTGCTCCAGATGGGGGAGACACCAGGGACTATTCTCCCCCAGGTTTATTTGTTTTTCTTAAATTTTGATGGTATGGCAAGCAGAATGGTAAACCATGAGGCTTCTCAAATTATGAATGGTTCCAATGCTGTGCTTGCAATCAACAGATTTTTGGTGGATTCATGTTGACTTTGTACATTTTATAATTGATTTCATTCATACCTTTGGGGTTGAGTCATTGAGGTTTACAACAGAAATATTGTTTATGTGAATTCAATTCAAAGTTGCAGTACTGTAAAAGCAGTTCAGCACAAGAAGATTGTATGATTACTTTTTGGAGAAAAAAAAGAATGTGTAAGGGAGAGGGGAACATGTCACTGTTGTCCTCTCATCTAGATCACCCCCTTCTATTTGCCACACCATACTTGTGATGCCTAAATGAAGACTATATGTGCATTCAGATGCTCATTATGAGACACCCAAAGGAAGTGTGTCTGCTAAGACTGCCAATGTATAGTACAGGGTGTTCAAAAAGTAATGCAACCAATGAATTATGTTCTGTCACGGGCACCGAATTAAATGTTTGAACTAAAGAAAAAAATGGGTGACAAGTATGTATTGCAGAAAAGAAAGCTCTTGGTAAAGGACCAGATGTTACAGTGATACCCAGCATGAGTTTGAAAATTAATGGGGCAGCAAAAAATTAATGATACCTATACCACAGGTTTAATGACTTTTTGAACATTTGTACATTAAATTGAATAGGACAGGACTCAGTTTCAACTGATGGCAGAGCAAAGAGTAAGCCTGTTATATTGTAAGAGGTTTCAGGAAGAAAAAGAAAGAATTATCATTAGCAGGATCAGTTTATGCTGAAAGATACACAGATTCAAATGAGATAGAGTAATGCATCCTTGCTGTCTCCATTAAAATTCCAACTAGAATTTGCACCTGGTTCCAGTTGGATACTCGAAGAACTTTCTTGGCTCTGGATGAAATTCTGAAATGGAGCTTGCTACAATTTCAATAATTATATCATTTCCCACTATCCTTTTGTTTTTAGCTATGCTATTTGGAAATAGTTTGGAATAGCAGTTGAATCTAGTTGACTTTTCCCTATATATAGTTTCAAGTAGAAAGTCAAACTGTCCTCTCTTATACTCTTATCTTATCATTCCTATTGAGGTCAGTTGCATGTGAATCCTTTTTGCCACCTTATTGATTATTATGAGTCTTTGCTCAAGACAGTTTTAAAATTTGCTTGAATGACACTAGTGTCAGGTGCATGCGTGACGACTTACGAGATAGAAATACGGAATCTATAAAGTAACATTTCGAGAAAAGTTTGACACGTTCCTTATAAATAGTTTGTCCTCTAAACTACTGTAGTCTCCCACATAAAAAAAATAGACGGCATATCTCATAATGAGGCATTTATTTTTCTTAATGAAGCAGAATTAGAGTATATAATCATCTAGCTGACTCAAGTTGTTGTGGACGCTGAACTGTGTTCATACTGTGGAGACCAGACAAGCATGAGATATCACCAGATCACTGAAAAGTACAGTGATGGTGTATTCTTGTTGAATTTCTTTTTCTGTTATATCTGTGGTGATTGTAGTTATATTTATATCAGAGGGTAAATTATTTTATTGATATCATGCACCTGCTGTTTTGTGCTAATGCATGAAGTTTTCCTTTTTTTTTTAGTTTGTGAGCCATGATCGGAGTATGGGAAAATGACATACTT